CCGAGCCCCCAGGCCCACCCCGAGCCCCCTGCCGCTCCGAGAGGGGGCAAGGTCCCTTCCCAGGTGCCCCTGTCACCCATCGTGTCCCCGGAGAATCGCGGTTCTCACCCTCGGGCTTTCCTGACGTCATGTAGCCCTCTCTTGGGCATGGCTGTCCCCCGGATCCCATGTGGGCCGTGTGAATGGTGTGTAGACCAGAGAGATGGCTCCCTGTGTGGTGGCCTCCTGAGCCCGGGCCGCTCCCTGAGACATGGCCACCGTCCTGCCTCCGGTTTATTTCCCACCATCTCGGGCTCCACCCACACGCGGGCCCGTCCACCCACAAAGATCCGGGCCCGTGTCAAGTCCTGATCATGTTAAGGCTCCGTGCACCCCGCTCCCCCGAGAACAGTGGGTTTCAGATCAACAAACCCAGGGTTTCCCGACCTGTAAGGGGCTCCTGGGAGCAGCGTCCACGAGGCGAGCCCGCAGGGCCCCGCGCAGTGTGGGGCTGGGGCTGCGTCTGACCTGCCCCTCCCCTCCCCGCAGCGGCGTGTCCACCTTCTGGATGGCCAATCCCAACAACAACCTGGTGAACTGCTCCGCCGCGGGGTCCGAGGTGAGCGGGGAGGTCTCTTCTTGGGAGAAAATTAGGGGTGCGGTAGGGGGGCTGGGGGGGCCCAGCCAGGCCTGAGGGGTTCCCTGGTTTTCAGTGATGGCTGTGCCTGCATCCCCTGGTGATTGTAGCCAATGAGAACACAGCACTTTATGTGAAACTAGAGGCCCAGTGCACAAATTCGTGCACAGGTGCAATCCCTCAGCCTGGCTGGCAATTGGGGGGAGGGGAGGGGGATCATGGAGGTTGGCCGACCGTGGAAGATTAGCTATGGGTGCACACTAACCACCAAGGGGCAGCTCCTGCATTGATCATCTGCCCCCTGGTGGTCAGTGCACGTCATGGCTACCGGCCGGTCGTCTGGTTGTAATGGTCGCTTAGGCTTTTATATATATACTTAGCTCATGTCAGACTGAAATCACTGTCGCTTAGAACAGTGCCTGGCCCGCCAGCGTTCTCTAAGCTAAATAATTCCGTTCTCACATTGGCCCTATGAGATGGGGAACAGGCAGGGGGCGCTCACGTGTCCAGGGCACCACGGGGTACCAACAGGGCCTCGCTCTCATCCACCCCTCCCTGCCGCTCACCCCGAGGGACCCTGAGCGGGGCAGTGCTGGCCCTGGGCTCTGGGCCTGGCCTCCATGTCTGTAGAAGGAGAGAGAGAAGCTGAGAACACCGCAACCTCCCCCCCCCCACCCCGTTACCTGCCAGGGGAGATGGCGATGACACCCAGCCGCATGGAGTCTGGCCAATAGAGTTAGACCCAGTGAAGGGTTTTAACAAACAGGGTGGGCCCCACAAAGTTCATTTGCCTCAAGCTTTTCACTGTTTCCTGAGTTGTTTTTGGGGGTGGACGGTCACCCGGCCAGAAGCCGCCTGGAGCTGAGTCCCGTGCCTTCCCCACAGGAGACGGGGTTCTGGTTCATTTTCCACCACGTGCCGACGGGCCCCTCGGTGGGCATGTACTCCCCGGGCTACTCAGAGCACATCCCCCTGGGAAAGTTCCAGAACAACCGGGCACATTCCAACTACCGGGTGAGTCACCCCGGACCACCACCCACCCCCCACCCCTGTCAGGGCAGCCCCGAGACTGGAGCTGCGGACGCGGGCATGGGGCCATCCACCCATCCACCCATCCACCCATCCATCCATCCACCCATCCAGCCAGCCAGCCAGCCAGCCAGCCACCCATCCATCCATCCATCCACCCATCCACCCATCCACCCATCCACCCATCCACCCATCCATCCATCCATCCATCCATCCATCCACCCACCCATCCATCCATCCACCTATCCACTCATCCATCCATGCACCTATCCATCCATCCACCCACCCACCCATCCACCCAATGTTCTTTATCCTAAGTACTCTGACCAGAACACTGAGGACCAAGAGGTTGAGTTCTTTGTAAAGGCACCCAGCAAATCAGAACCAGAACCGGGCCCCAGAGCACCCAGGCTGTGGTGGCTGACGGTGGGCAGGCAGCTGAGCTAACAACAGCCTGTGACCGCGCCCTCCTGTCCATGTGAAAAAGCAGAATGTTCACTCCTGAGGTGTCAAGCCCCTGACCCCTCTGCTCATGGCATGAGTGAGGACGGATGGATCAAAACCAAAGTCTAAAGGCAGGACCACCCTCCTTCTCCCTGACCCTCATCTCTGAGGATGTGCACAGGGCCTTGCATACGAACAAGAACATATCCACCCATCCATCCATCCACCCACCCACCCATCCACCCATCCATCCATCCATCCATCCACCCATCCACCCACCACATGGGAAGACCTGGGTGTCAGGCTGGCCTTCAGGCCCAGTCCCTGATGGTGCAGGTCAGAAAACCATGGTCCCCAGAGGAGAGTGGACACGTTCAGGGTCAAAAACAAAACAAGGGCCGATGAGGGACTACAAGAGAGAGAGATTCTCAGCATGACCTGCGCTTACGCTGAGGGTGTGGCCTGTGAGGAGGGCTGGGTGGCTGGGCAGAGAGAGGACCCCGGGCGGGGCCACGTCCCAGAAGCTAAGAAGGAAGCGAGCTCCCGGGGCCGAGGACAGGGGCGAGGAGGGCCATGGTGCTGCCCGACAGAATAGCACGGGCCTCGGGGGACGTTCTGAGGCTGTCGTGGGCCCCAGGGAGCTGTCCCCATCGGAACGGGCCATCAACTGTGGGGTGGGGGCGGGGACAATACATCGGCTGCTTGTCAGACCCCCGAGGGCCTTCCCACGAGAGGGGGGGGTGAGCCTTGTTGGACCTGGATGTGTGGAGAGGTTGGGACAGGTGAGGCTATGGGGGGAGGTGGTTTCCCGCCGGAAGTCGGCCAGGGTCACGGGCACGCGTGGAGGGACGGCCTGGAGGACTTAGCAGGAGGGACTCGGCCGCGTGGCCTTGGACCAGGTCCTGAACCCCTGTGGCCCTCAGCGTTCTCCGCTGTGCCTCCCAGAGGGTTTCAGACCCGACCGAGCCACACAGGACCACCCCCACACAGCACGGCAGGCCCCCTGCTCCCACTAGTGCATCCTGGGAGCAGAGCTGGTTTGCAGGAGCGTGCGAGGTGGCGCAGTGAGGCTGGGCGTGAGGAGATGCCTGGCCTGCAGGGCAGCCAACGTGCCCCTGAATGTCTACACCCCCGCCCCCCGCAGGCTGGCATGATCATAGACAACGGCGTCAAGACCACAGAAGCCTCCGCCAAAGACAAGCGGCCCTTCCTCTCGATCATCTCTGCCAGGTAATCAGCCCTCGGGACCCTGAGGTCAGCCCCATTCCTCCCACCCATCCATCATCCACCCATCCATCCATCCATCCATCCATCCATCCATC